ACTGCTGAACACTCAAGGTGACCTTGTGACACAGCACACGAGTATTCATTTTATCTGTTTCTACTGACATGGTCTACTCTCGGGGATCCCAGAGTTCCATGTCAAGTAGCAAGGATCAAGTCAGGGTCTAGTTAAACAAGCTAGAAGTGTCATACATGTCCATGGGACTGGATAGGATACATCTGAGAGTACTAAGAGTGACAGCAAAAGTCATTGGAAGGACACTCTCAGTCCCTTGTGAAAGGTCACGGTGATCAGAGGAAGTTTCTAACAACTATAAAAATGTCTGTCTTAGGAATTTGAAAAAGGAGGATCTGGGTGGTGAAAAGATGATCAACCTTCTCTCAGTGGCTGAGGAAATTACAGAGCAAGTATTCATGGAAATCATTACCATGAAAATAAAATATTATTGAGAATAGCCATCTTGAATTTCCCAAGGACAAACCGTGTTTAGTCACTCTGATTGTTTTCTACAACTATATTACAGGTTTCTCTGGGTAAGATTAGAGTAGGTGTTGCTTCCCTTGTCTGCAGCCAGAACTTTGATAATTTTTCAGCATTTGCAGCCAAATTGGGAAGACACAGGTATACTACAAGGTGCATTAAAAACTGGCCAGGTCATGGGCCTCAAAAGGTACCTAATAACTGTTTTAAATCCAATTAGCAGGTGATTCCAAGGGATATTTCTTGTGATCAATGAAATGGCTGATATTATTTAACTTTTTCATCCGTGACCTTTGGAAATACAAGGTGACAGCAATTCAAGGGGGGCTGTTGGTTTACTGGAGGGTATAGCTGCTATCCAAACCTCAACTATCTGAGTAAACATGTAACGCATACATCTGTATTGGACTTCCAAAAACAAGAATGCCAAGATCTGGGACAGGATATAGTTAGGGAGAAGTGCAGACTGGAACTAATGGTTCCGCAGGAGAAGACGCAGTGGACCACAAAGCAACAAAGGCAGCAGTGTGCACCTGCAGTAATAAACACTGACTACATCTTGGAGTGCCACAGCCAGCAGGTCAAGGGACAAGATTATTGCCCTCTCTTCAGCACAGATGAAGCCACATCTAGAGCAATGTGTTCAGTTTGCTCTCTTGCCAAAGAAAAGAGAGGCTGAAGAGAATCAAGCAAAGAGTCATTAAGGGAGCTAGAAGCTCTGACATGTAAAGAGGTTGAGTGACCTAGAAATACCAATATTCTTGTAAGTTTAATGGACGTTTACTGCCAGAGCATCCTTAGCAGCATTCCTTATGGTCGCATTATGAGAACAGATGCATTTTGGTGGTCCCCTCCAGAAGACCTACAATGGCTGTAAGTATATATTAGAGCCCATTAATGTCACTGGTGCAATACCTGATGATGTGCCACAGCAAACTTTGAGTTTCATACAGACATTAAAAGGTAGCCTGAAGGTAGTACTGTTCTGCAAACAGAAACTTCCATGGAACTTCTATATTTCTGTGCCTGACAAACTCCTGCTCAGGGACTGTTGCACAGAAACATGAATTCTAAATCAAATTGGCATCCTACCCATGAATGATTTTCCATTTATAGTTGCAAAGCCACTGTTAAAGTGGCCAAAACTAGTTTATAAAATATTTCTGCAGCTATAATTGTTCAGGACCACTGAACTGCATGTTCCAAGCCAGATCAAAAGGAGCACCACAAACCCATGAAAGGCTTATATGTAAAGACAGGGTAAATTCCATGTCTGGGATCCATCTGTAATTCTGTCAAGCCAAGAGTGCTTGTAGCTGTATACAAATTAAACGTCTGTCTGCCAAAATTAAGTGAATGAAGAACAAATACCCCCTTATCACCTTATTTTTTTATTTTTTTTTTCTTACAGTAACTACCTTGTTTTCTTTAATGTAAAATGTAAAATAACCTCCCTTTCACACTGGTGTGAAAATACAAATCAGATTGGGAGTTACATCAATGCCAGGATTGATCCCAGAATTTTTAGATTACCATTTTGCTACAAATATAGATGTGGAAAGGTATGTCATGGGTTTTTTGATAGCTGACACAGCTGAAGATGTAGCTTAAAACACAACAGGACTTAGAAGGAACTGTATTATTTCCTGAACAGGTTCAAGGCAAGTGTATCACTGATTTACTATACATCATTGGCCACACACAGAGATGAATTTAAGCAATTCTAAATAGTTGGAACGACAAGGCCTGATGTTATTACATTTGCAGACCAGTGATACATGCATGATTTTTCATGCCTGGTCATGTAAAAAAAGCAGGAATTAGTAACAACTTGCAGTGTTAATTCCCTAAATAATTAGCACTTACACTGTTACACGTATTAACTTTTATTAATGTGACTTGAGACAGCCAAAAGGCAGGGTCTAACACAAATTTAAAAAAAAAAAAAAAAAGCAAAACCAAACCAAACCAAATCAGCTTTTTTATTGCTTTATCTCGTAAATCCCAATCATTAGCTTTAAGGAAAAAAACCAAAAACATAAACATGAAACGTCCTAAATTATTCCTCAGCTACTCAATAAACTCAATGGTTTATTTTGGAGCCTCTGCAAATTGGTCTGTATCAGAAGTAGTAACTTTTATAGCCCAACTGATCTATCTTCAAGAAATACATTCTGCGACATGAAGGGTTGAAACTGCGCCTGCAAACTTGACCTTTACATCAGCTGGTCTAATCTAATAAAAGATATTACCTCTCCCTAGAAGCCCTTGCTTTGTTTATGGGCACGACTGCCCGAGATTACAGCACTACTATTATCAGACAATGCCAACTGCTAGGCTGTCCCCGAGAGCCCAGGGTGGGAGGGGCTGCCAAAAGCGCCCTCACGTCGGGGATCCCCGCTGAGCCCCGCTCGCTCCAGCTCCCAGCGTTTCCCTGCCACGCACCCGGCCCGGGGGGTGACAGGGCGGCGGTGACGGGGCGCGGAGGGGC